TCAATTCCCTAAAAAATACCCAAACTAACAAGAAACACCCAAATTAACATTAACAAAACACATTAATGTAAGTGTGTAAACATGTGACTATGTTGTGTGCGTGTACTGTTGTGTTCTATGTGTGTCTGTTGCCGTGTGCGTGCTGGGGGTGTATATGTGTTGTGCGTGTGTTGGTGTGTGTGTGTGTGTGTGTGTGTCACTCCCTGTGCGTGATGTGCGCGACTGTGGTGCGCGACTGGAGAGAGGTGAAGACAGAGAGGTGCAAGAGAAAGACAGAGATGAAGGCGAGGCACAGTGAGAGGGAGTTAGAGTGGATCTAGGAGACGTGTTGTCATTGGATCAAGGCGACGGTGGTGTGTTGGCCGGTGGCGACGATAGTGCTGTGGCGAGAAAGAGAGAGAACGCAAGTGGTAGAGAGAGAGAAAAAAAAAGGATAGGGGAAAAGAGGCGTTGCTAGGTGTGGCTAGATTATTTTGTAAGGGAATTTTTTTTTTTTTTGGTCAGTTAGGGAATTTATACACCATTGTACCAAATTAACTTGAGCTATTAAATTAGTGATAAAATCTACTAATTCAACAACTACAAATAATTTAGTAAAATTGGGGGTTGCTGTTGTGTGTGGGGGCAACATGGATCTTTGTATGTGTGTAGGGCTGCAAAAAAATAGAGAGAAACAGGAAAATATATCCCCTATATTCTCAGCAAAAAAATTACACCGTCAGATTGAACTAAATTTGAGTTAGATTAATCCTAACCTCTCTTGTGCTTAGTTAACTTTAGGATTTCAAAAATGCATGTGTCTTATTGTTATAGATTTTCACTTGAACCCTTGATATAATCATATTGTATTGGTTCATATCTATCACATATATAAACAATAAAGTGAGGGCGGAATACGTAGTAAATTGAAGTAATGCGGGTATATTTGATAAGTGGCAGAGAGGCAAAATTTGAGCCAAGACCGCAAACCCCAAATGCAAAAGTATTCAGGAGCTTATAGACTAAACTGCAGTATATGTATGTGGCACCAATACAGTACTAGTGCAACTACAGCAGCTAGAGGGCTTCCTGAATCAGATTCTCCGTGAGAGCTTTAGGAAGTCCCATAACACTACCAGCAGTTCCTACCTGCAGAAGAATGGCAAGGGATGCTTATATTAGAAGGAATAGAGTGACTCTCATGATGGATAATATCAATATATACAGCGTGTTGTAAGTAATAAGCTAAATGCCGTGGCAAATTTTTTTCAGCCACGGCATTAATGGGCAGACCAAGATTAGTACTAGTAAGGATCTTGATAACTTCTGCGGGAGCATGATAAGAACACATATTATATCCCATGATCCGGGCGGCACAACACAAGAGCTTAATAATAACCCTTGTGACAGAATAGATCATCCATGCATCATATATGTGATACCTCAAACCTATNAATAAGCTAAATGCCGTGGCAAATTTTTTTCAGCCACGGCATTAATGGGCAGACCAAGATTAGTACTAGTAAGGATCTTGATAACTTCTGCGGGAGCATGATAAGAACACATATTATATCCCATGATCCGGGCGGCACAACACAAGAGCTTAATAATAACCCTTGTGACAGAATAGATCATCCATGCATCATATATGTGATATCTCAAACCTGTCCCTCTATGCAGAGAGAGAGAGAGAGCTAACCACAGTGTCAACGAAGGGCAATGTCAGCGGATGTTCAAGCATCAAATCCCCAGCGACATTGAGCATAATTTCCTCCTCAACCTGAGGACAAATCACCATGAGCAAAGAGGCACATAAAGAATTATTAGAGAGATTATGGTGATGTTCTTGCATGTATTACCAGGCTATCAATGACCTCATCTGGAATATCGTGGAAATAGACCTGCACCACAGGAAAACCTGTAATTTACCCTCTCAATTCAAATATATAACCATTATGTCTAAAAAATCTAACAGGAAACAACGGTTCACAGTGCAACTAAGATGTCAAATTAGAATTGTTGGATCTTGGCAAATATGAAGACAGAGTGTTACACGGCCATGGCATNGCAACTAAGATGTCAAATTAGAATTGTTGGATCTTGGCAAATATGAAGACAGAGTGTCATGGCATAATTAACAAAGCTATGCCCTCAGAAAAATCAAATGCACTATATGTATTTCTTCTAGCGAAATAATGATACATGTCCCCTTGTCCCTTTGCCAGAAGAAACTGAGAAAAGTGCGAAAATGGGATTAATCACATTGTGATCTAGTTCAGCAGACCGATGAAGTTGTCCATCACTTATATCAACTACCCTATAGATAGATGTAACATACTCTTATAGTTCTAACCATACAGGCATTGCAAGAAATTCAAAGGAATTGGATCAGCAATCCCACGCATAGTGAGTCACATGGAGTCAAAATCAAATGACCTTCACCTAAGAAGACCAAAGGAGGGAAAATAGCCTTTTAACATCTTAATTCTAAGCCAATATTGTTTTGATACACCCTCAACCTCACATGGGCTCAAATTTTTTCATTATTACTCAGACGACTGCAGATAAGACAGCAGTGTTAAAAATAATACCTCTGCCTTGTCCCATCCTCCTTTTCTGCCACCCGTTGTAAGGTTGCTCACTATTACAGATCCCACAACTGAGACATGACCACCAGAATAGCCTACAATACAAATACAATCCCTAAACCAGCAATTCATGCAATAGAATGAGTTAACAGGAAAGTTTATTAAGACAACCTTTGATAAACTGGCGTGCTTCTTCCTTGCTGGATGGTTTTTCTCTGATTGTCCCATCATAAACCACTACCTCAAAACCATTTAGATGTAGGTAAGATATAACCTGACACAATCTATATACCAACCAAGAAAAAAACCTAACAGTTACTATCTCAGTGGTGTTTGCTTCAACTCTAATTGTGATATTAGCACACACTTAAACCAGGAGACAGATGATATATGAGGAGTAAGGCCACTGACACACAAACACCCAGCAAGTTGATATGAGGTGTCAATGAATTCACTGCTAAGGGGGATACTTACACCTTGTTTGCTTAAAATCATTTGCCCTGAAGCTTTCATCTCATGCTAAAAGACAACCCCACAGATGCAACCAAAAAGTTTTGAAGGGAAAGCAATTAATGAAGTGATGGTAGCCATAAACTCCAAGTTTGTTTCCTTTTCTGGAGATTTTCCATCACAATCTATCATTTCCATGGAGGGTTTGCCGTTTGCGTGCAGCATCATCGGATTGATCAAACACACATAAAAATGACATCTACTGGGCAGAAACCATGAATCCCTGGATAGGGCTAAGTGCACAATTGCATTGTAAAACACAATAGAATGTATTTATATTTATTCTGAATAGACACATTAGAAAATTATAAAGATTTGAATAGGCACCAGTCAAACCAGCACCTATGTTCATGTGGCTCGTCCATGTGTATGTGCAGAGTGCGCCTAAAGCGCTTTACGCATGTGCAACATGTGAGCATGCATTGAACTTAGCCACACTAGTCTACGCGTGTCTTACTTTTTGTGCCAAATAAATAAATACACATACAATGATTACATACAAAAACCAATTAAATAACTTCTCCAGTTCTCCTCAACCAATGTGTGACAAAGTTTTTTCTCAAAAAGAGACTACACTTTGGAGGGAAGTTGAAGTAAGAAACAAGTTCCTTAACTGACTTCCCAAATAAGTGGGGGCTGCAAAATAAGAACTGTAAGTTACCCTTCGAAAAAGAAGACCTGTAAGTTGTTTACTAATTCAGAGTAATATCAATCTGTTTCTAACGCTTATTCTTATTGAATTCATTCAAGTGTTGCTGGTGGCTTTGGGATTCTGAATAAAGTCATCTTATCTACTGTGGTGCTTCTTTCACTTTGTTTCTTTTCCTCTTGATAGGGAAGGCAATGCTCTAGTCCAGTTGAAATGACTAAACTCACTGACGTGTATGAGTTTTCCTTAATCTTTTTACCATGAACTAGTATATCCAACATCAGTAAACAAAAAACTTGATATTATCCTAGTGTATCAATACAAATTTTTCCCAAAGAGTTTTGAGACAAATTATCAACTGGTATTTCTCGATGTATCATAGAAAAACTCTTGTGTAGTTCAAAGAATTAACGTTTCATCATGAATCACGCCATATCCCCTGAACTCCACCCTTTACTTACTCTTACAATCCTACTGCACGAGAGACATCAGATATCGATGCTACATAAGTTCTCCATGTCTTGATTTTCTATAAAACTAGGTAAACTTATGTTCAGAATAGGTAATAACAAAAGGGATAAATAAAGCATACTGTGTCTGCAGTAATTAAAAGTGTGGATTCAGCATTCTCCTCCGTATGATCCGTAATTTTGAGCCTTGATATGGTGGCATCAGCCTAAAACATTGTTCCATTAACCACAATCGAAGTCACTGTAAGTTGCTATTCAGTGATGGAATCCAGATAACAAAAAAAAACAAAATTAGCATAAAAATCGAAATAGTTTGCGCAGTCCCAAAGAGTGCAACTAACCAAACCATAAATCATGGATGAGCATGTAGAACCGGTAGCAGGAGAGCCGACTTCAAATGCATAGATTTTTTCCATGGGTTCTGTTTAGTATATCGCGTATTTCTGTTCGTTCTATATGTTCAATAAATGGCAGAAAAATAAGGGTGCAGTGTCTAAGCTTGAAAAGCAAGTAGAAATTGCCACAACTTACAGCAGCTTTACAAAAGAAAATTTACACACTTTTGGATACTTTAACAGATGGTTAATTTTTCTGAAAGCCAAAGCAATGATGCCAAAGCACTGGATTGTCGTATTAGTCATTACACAAATAAAGTGGCATAAGTAATTGTGTTGGTTAATATGAGCATGGAAGAAAGGCAGAGTAGTTGAGATTGTAACCTTGATAACTTTTCTGGCTCCAGTCTTGTAATGTCTTAAGTTCCATAATTTATTCATATTTTGCATGAATTTACACATGGGTGTTTGTGTGTGTGGGAGTGTCATCTGTTTCTGCATGTGTAAAAAGGGTAGAAGTAAAAAAACAAAAATATGTTGAACCAGAAAGAAGGGTAAGGGGGAGTTAGCGACTCAAAATAGAAAACCAATAACAAAATATGTAAAGGCCTGAAAAAAGCAAAATCATATTAAAAAAATTGGGGAATTTAAAAAAAAAAAACCTGGCCTGCCGCTCTTACTCCACTTAATCACAAACTTGGCATATGTCAACTTCCACAAAAGTTCAAGAGAATTGCGATACCTCCTTTAAGCCGAACAAAAAAAAAAGGAGTACTAGATTCTGCTCATGAATTACCCAATACCAAAAAGCCTATAATTTGCAAAGAAGAGATGATCCCATGATCTCTCAATACATCCCCAACTCAGAATGTGCATAAATTCAAGTAAACAACTGTTGAAATTGATTTTAATAGACCTTGAGGAGTTTCAAGTGCAAATAATAGTATCTTTTCTGGGTAATGAAGGATCACCTTCGAATGAAGCAGAAGTAGTGAAAGGAAAATGGCTCCAAAAGTTTGATAACCGAAGGTCAACAGAAAAAGTTTCAATGCTTTTACATAATGTCCTAGTAAAGAAAACTGTTAATCCCACCTAAATGAACCATAACTTGAGCAGAAGTGGATATTTTTTCGACCATCTTCACTTGAAGGCTCGAATATATTAAAAAGTGTACTAAGAAAAAAAAAAGTTGAAATGAATAAGAATAAATTAGGTAATTTTCTCGTAATAAAGAAACTATTGTACATACTCAGATGAATTTTCAATGGTGTAATACATATTTCCTTCGACACAGCTATGAAATACTGCTACGCTGATCAAGATTTCTCACAAAGTTTTCTATCCGAAGTGATGTGGTCCAGTTTCCTATGAAACAAGTGGATACCATTAATAATTATGGAGATTATGCTACATCACTTGGGATGGAAAACTTAGTAAAAAACTGGGTAAGCATTCCTTTGTGCTCTGTTCCTCGCCTAATCTCCTAAATTACTGATAGTGAGGGAAGAGTCTCATAAGCATCTGGGTTAATTAATGAAAAAACCATTCAAAGGATAACTCGGAGCATACAACAAATTAATAATGGATTAAAAGAAGACATAAAGCATTCCTTTGCCTCCGCTAGAGCCATTACTAGTTCCTCCGCCTTTTCCTTCCTAACACTTTTCTCGTCAATGTCTGCAGTCTAAACCACAATCAGGATTAAATAATTTTCTAAAGTCTCCACAACAAGCGTTATATGTCTTTTTAACGTTCACATTTATATATTTCGACGAGAACATACCAAGAATGTGAACTCATATCCCATCTCGGCTAGAATTTGACGACGAGCCATCGATGACGAACCCAAGATTATCTTTCATGAAGCATCACAATCCAACATCCAAAACCACACACACACACACATATAAATTACGCAAACAATACAGAACTTAATGTATACACGGGTTACGAACAAATGTCTCAAGATAAAATTCAAAATGTACACGATTAGTTTGAGCCAAACCTTAAATGATGAGTTCTTCGTACTCATCTCTCTCTCTCTCTGTCTGAGGCGGTTAGGTTGGGAGAGAAAGTTGAGCGAGAACTGAGCAGCACGGTAGTAGTGTCCGCGGTCCGTTTTGTAATCCGTTCAACTCCCGAGGGCCCGGAACAGTGACCATTTGGCGGTAAGCTGCGGTCACAATTTTTTCCCAAATTCCACTTTTCTCCCTCTTTTTGCTTTTGCTTTTGTTTTTTTGGGGCTCGGACATGTATGGCACCAAAATGAGATTTATTTATGGATTAATAGCACTTTAATCCTCAATTTAAAGTATATTTATTTTATCCGTTTATTTTTCATTGTATTAATTTTAATAACTTAGTCCCTAAAATTTTAATTCGTACCCCTTTCATTCTTAATCATACAATTCGTTAAGTTTTTTTTTTGACAAAAATGACTGTGTGTCATTCTTTCAGACGGGATCACATACTCAACATATAATCATTTCATTAAAAATATAATGGTCTATCTATGCAAATATCATTTAAACACAAATTAAATATTTTATAGATCAAATTGATACTTTAGAGACCAAATTAATAAAACATGTATAATTTAGAAACCAAAGCGTGATTAGCCTTATATTCAATAGGTTTAAGTCATATAAATTATATCGTGTTAAAATTTGTTTAATTTATACATTAAATTATTTATTTAATGAGTTTAACAAATCAATTTAATTATGGCCCAAAGATGTTAAAGATGAACTCAAATCATGTTAGTTTCGTACCAATTTGACAGATAATGTTATAAATTATTAAAGTTAATGATCAAATATCCAGGATTATTGATGAGACATTTCCAAAATACTCTAAGATGAAGACACGTGTCCTCGGTGTCACTAAATTCTTGTTACTGTGATCACGACACGTACCCATCGGTTCACAAGTCCCTCTCTCCCGAGGTACTGGTCGTTGGGATCAATGGCATCCAGTACGTTTATGTACCAACACGTACCCCTCGGTCGGGGGGAATATGGTACATCGGTCCCTATGTGTACCTCCTTCTCGGTTTTGAGAAGTACCGTCCAGAATGACATTCTTTGCTCCTGCAGAGCTATTGATGTACAGGACGCTAGCCTAGGCTAGGCTAGGTTAGCCATCATGATCTCGTCTTACATAATTGGTGTCAGAAGGCAGGGAACACAGCCAATGAGGAATGGACGCGTGGCATATTGTGTTACATCAGAGACAGAAAGACCGGATGCCCTTGCTGATACACGACTTGGGAAAACAAGCATTCAATTACACCATTCCCTTGATGAGACAACATTNCTCAAGAAGGCAAGGAACACAGCCAATGGGGAATGGACGTGTGACATATTGTGTTACATCAGAGACAGAAAGACCGGATGCCCTTGCTGACACACGACTTGGAAAAACAAGCATTCAATTACACCATTCCCTTGATGAGACAACATTTAATGCGGTAAAACTCAGAAGTGAAAGATAATAAATGTCTCTAAGGCTGGACATTTATTACATCCTCCCCGAGAGGAGCTCATTGAACAGTCGGCAGGCCGATGACACAGCCTTGGTTGCTCGGGATCCCGAGCAGTTAAAAAAAAAGACATTCCTCATAGGAAATCGTGCACACACTGCCTGTACCTAATGATCACCTACTGACCACACTGACAGCAATCATGAGTTTTTAAGGTATAAATACTCCTCGCAAAAGGCAAGACGGTATGCAACGAAAAACCTTTGCTAAAAATTATACTCAGTGTTTTCTTCTTCCTCTCTCTCAAAAAATTGACTTGATCGTCGGAGGGGATACGCCGGAAAATACTCCGACGCCCTTCTAACTTGTCTTTCTTTGTTCTAGGAACCTTCCTCAGTCTTACTGGATCGTTCCGTTAATCCACGAGGGTCTCCCATTACCATTCCAGGTTACCATCGGACCTCACAGGCTATTCCAAGTAGCAGGGTTGACCACTCGAGTTCACCAAGGGAGAGATCTGTTCTCGCGTTTATATTGTGCAAGATCCAGCACGCACAATCTGGCGCCGTCTGTGGGAAACGANTGACCATTCGACTGACTCACTCGAGTTCACCAAGGGAGAGATCTATTCTCGTGTTTATATTGTGCAAGATCTAGCACGCACAATCTGGCGCCGTCTATAAGAAACGATTAGTTTTCCTAGTTTCTTCTCTATAAAGAACAGTGATCATGGTGAATACTCGACAAAAAAGGAAAGGTCCCTAGCAAAGAAGTCTCGAATTACAAGCTCCATGTCACCATGGAGGGAGGGATCACACTGATGGGAATAAAAATGCCTCTATTCAGTCAAGAGGGGTTACCCCTCAAACCAGTATGGGAATCTGGTCAGGAGGATCAGCCCCCTTGGCTTGTCAGCTGGTGGAGGTGATCGAAGAAAAGTTTGGGGATTGATTATGACAGCTGGAAAAGGACAACGTAAACGTCCTAAGCCGGCTCAACGAATTCGCCGCCTCCGGCGAAGGGTCGAGGGACTCATTCCTTTCTCGTGGGCTCTCCGCTCGGAAGGCGAAAACGAAGGATCTAAGGAATCATCTAAACAACAAGGCAAAAAGCTCCAGGGCCCCAAAGTGACCGAGAGCCAACGAGCACCCTCTTAACGACCATTCCAGGAAGGCAATGCCTTTAGCCCTAGACGACCTCCGGTGAGGATTGTCGAGACGGAGGAAGAGAGATGAGTCCGAGGAGGATTCAACCCTATCCACACGGCGCCTAGGAAATGGGGGGCCTATTGATGAANTGACCGAGAGCCAACGAGCACCCTCTTAACGACCATTCCAGGAAGGCAAGGCCTTTAGCCCTAGACGACCTCCGACGAGGATTGTCGAGACGGAGGAAGAGAGACGAGTCCGAGGAGGATTCAACCCTATCCACACGGTGCCTAGGAAATGGGGGGCCTATTGATGAACTCAAGGATTTTAGAAGACATCCCATTGGGGAGGAAATTGATCTTAGAGCCCGGTTGAAATCTAGGAGAAAGAGTAAGGCTGTCCAGGATGAGGTTGAAGACGAGGTCATACAAACACCCTTCACCAGGGAGATC